CATTTTTTCTCGTGAGCATTGCATGAGCTCCTTGCCGCTGTGATCCCTATCGCGTCTGAGGCCCGACCTTGCCATCGATAGCAGCTATCTGACCCCGTGTGCCATAATGGGCGATTGTAGTCTTTTGACCCTGGTTTAGCATGCAGCATCGAGATCGAGGCAGTAGTTGGGACACTGAGAGTAGGAGTGAGGGGAGGAAGAGTTGAGAATGAAATCGGGTGAACCTGGTCAAAATGAAAACCACGTACGTATATTCCACCGGAAGATTCGTTCTTGCTAACTGGCATGAAATTCAGTTGCCCATACGATAGTGATCCTACCTGCATTTTTCCTTAAAGTGGTGTCCGATTCCCTTCGACTTCACCATGCTTGTTCATTCCCGTAGTGATTGAATTCGCTTCGTCATCGTGGTGTTATCCACTCCTCCTTGTGGGGCTGGCTTTTTGCCGTTCATGGAGCTGGCCGGATGTAATAATGYTGATCTTAGTGGATTACTGCTAGAAGCGCAAGTAACTGGCGAGAGTGCTGGACACGTGCATAGTGAGCAGCAGGGTAGGAACGAAAAGCGGGGAGGTAGTATGARAATACAGAAGGGAGGCTATGAGAAATGGCAAGAGTAGAGAGAGGGGGAGCACTTATCTGATGAAGACGCATTTGTAATCACGAAGAGGTGGAGCCTGCGGTGAAACTACTATGRCTTCTGCATGGTGAGGGAAGAGWAGACTGAAAGGGGCCTTTTGCTTCCACAGGTGGTGGTGCATAACCAATCGTAGTTGGTACGRTGAGTTCTCAGGCAAATTCGGTTGACAAGTAGGACCTTTGTTGTCATAGCATGAGCTGGTTACGGGGCAAGATAGCAATTGTTGTAAGGAGCTTACTGCTATAAGTTCGGCAGGACGCTACCACTCTATCCTTTGGGCGGGTGGTGTAAGGCCGCAGACCTCTGAACTGTGTTGCTACCATCACTCACAGTGTTGTTGTTTTCTTCGAAAGGCAGCCGCCTTGCGTTGTCGCTGTGATCCCAGCACAGGCGGCGACAAGGCATTTAGAGAAATTAAAACTTTTTCGTTCATAAGCTGCTACCAACTTCGAATTGTTGTGGGCTCCAGATTACAGCGGCATCTTCAGTTTCCCACGGTCGGCATTGTTGCCGTGTTTCTGGCTGCTACTGATTGAACTCTTGTTTGCACTGCGCTACAACAGTGCTCATTGCTACCTCTATCACTGTGCTTTTTGCTAGTGCGACTTATGTGCCCTTGCTACTGTTAGCTGTAGGTTGCTGTTACTAAAGCATTATATTGCTGCTGCTGCGGTGGATTGCTGATGACATAAGACTGGACGGTGGTTGCTGTTGTTTTCGTCACCATCAAACTATTACTGATTGGACTGTTGTCACGGCCCTGTAGGCTGTTGACTTCAAGTCCTTTACTACCGTTGGTGGGTCACTGAACTGAGGAGATAGTGAGAAGCCTGAATCATGATTCTACTGTCGAGGGTTGGGGGTCGTCATTGCTGTTGGAGTTGAGATTCTACTGCGACATCAGCCGTCTATTTGACACGGATGCATGCGACTGACCGCCATTGCGGGGCCCTCGGGATCGGAAGGTAACAAGGCCTTCTCCACGCAAGTCAGAGCGAACCTCTCTGGTATCTTGATAGACTGACTTTACTCTTTCTACCCTTCTTCCTCTCAGTCTAGTCTGTATACGGAGAGGAAGGCGGCAGGCGGGATTGCAACCCGTAGGACCGCATCAGGGCCTTTGTGGGAGGTTGACCCACCGATTGCGGGAGCTCTGCCGGAGCCCAGGCGAGACTTTGGAGGCAGGGAACTCAGAGGTAGGCCGACACGATACCTTTAGCTATCCCAATAAACCTCTATTTATACAAACCCGGTGTTTGATTTGTCTGACTTTGACTTGTTTTATTTTTCAGGACTTTAACTAAACCAAAAATGGTAATCTACTATGCATGTTAAGTCATCTGTCTATGGTAAAAATCACGATGTTTGCATGCGATGATCTGAATGGGACTGGAGATGAGGTCTTCTGACAGATCCAGACGCTTTGCTGATTGTCTAGATATTGAGACGGGGCGGAGTCAGGACCTGCCGCTTTGCTGATTGCCTGGACATGGAGACGGGACGGGGTCAGGACCTCCGCTTTGATGATTGTCTGGACATTGAGACGGGGCGGGGTCAGGACCTGCCACTTTGCTGATTACCTGGACATTAAGACGGAGCGGGGTCAGGACCTGCTGCTTTGCTGATTGTCTGGACATTGAGACGGGGCGGGGTCAGGACCTGCCGCTTTGCTGGTTGCCTGGACATTGAGACGGGGCGGGGTCAGGACCTGCC